GGTACATTTTCCTAATTACTTGAACTTCAGTACAGCGATCACCATTACAAATTTGTTTCCTAGTACCATCGTTTTTTATCGTTTTAATAGTAGAACGATTTCTCAACAGGAATTGAAATAAAAGGCAAATTTCCCTACTTACTTGAACTGCAGTCGAGCGTTCTTTTGAGACCAACCATGCACATTAAACGCTGGAGATGCTCGGTGTCGACGAGGAGAGCAGACACAAGGCGCGAGCTCACTTGTCCTGCGGAAGAAAACCTTTATCAGAAAGCATGACCAAACGAAGAGACAATAAAAGTGTATATGTAAGGATGACCACTCAAAGGTCAATAAGCAAACATAAAAATAAAAGCATCACTAGTTTCTTTATTATTATTATTATTATTATTTATTTATTTATTTTAATTGCCAAAGCCAACATGTTCATTTACTGAGCGAAGATCATTAAGAAGGATACAATGAAGCTTTATAAATGCTTCCGAAATACAACGAAATAAAATCGTTTCTGAAATCGCGCATAATTTCCCCTCTCCTTTGCACCCAACTTGCATCCAGTTTGAAATTCCCGCCATTTTTTCTTTTCTTTTCTTTTTATCTCATTCACGAAAACCTCTTATTCTCCTTCGTTATTAACAAAATTGCTTTTCACGTTCGTTTGTTCGAATCATTTTATTTTCCGAAGCAAAGACGAACTTGCATTTGTTCTTCGAAGTATATTGCCTTTGTTGGGGAGAATTCGTGATGATTTTAGTTCTTATTGGGAAAAAAAATCACCCAACAGTGGATACGACGTTACGTAAATAATAACGGAAAAACGGAAATAGATGGATAAGAAATGGAATGCGGATAATGATAAGAATAATGATAATGATTATGATAAAGGTAGAAAATTGCAGTGACATGATTGTGATAAAAAAAATTAATAATGATAATAAAGATAAAAAATGTCAATAACAACAACAATAATAAAGATAAAAACAATAATAATAATAATAATAACGATGTTGATAATAATAAAAATTAATGATTATCACAATAACAATATTTAAAAGGTAAATGAAAATGATAACAATAATAGCAATGACAATAATCAATAATGTTAAATAGTGATAATAATAAAAATGGAAATAACAATAATGATAATGATAATGATAATGATAATAATAATAATAAAATATTGATATTAAAATATAAATCTTAAGCAGTTTGGATAATAATAATGATAACAATGGTAGTACTAAAATAATAACGCTCATTTCGGATATGAAGAAACTGTAAAGCGACTTCGGAATACGATGATTTTTATTTTTTTATTTGCATGTGTTTTTGCCAGAATGTTTTCAAGGCATTATTGCATTTCGCTTTTTGTATTTTCTGTAAAGAGTTAGCTATACTTTTGAATTTCCCTTTTTCTAAGGGCGAACTCCAAGACCGCTTGGCTTTAAATTATATTCCGCATTTTCTCATCATTTCAGAATCCCTATTGCATTTGCAGGAGTATATGGGGAGAATCAACATTAACCGAGACTCGAATATCTCTTGCACATGTCGAACGTAGTCAGAGGTCCAGGCCAGGCCGAGACTATGAAAAATTATAGCTTTTTCAGAGTAGCATTCACAGATAACGATTCCTTCGTAAATTACAAACTTTAGATATAAGGGGAAAATGATTGTCACTGGTACAGAATGTTGCTGACCGGAAGAGCAGACACGAGGTACAGCGGACCGGCCAGGGACGAGAGGTCACAGTCCACGTCACTGGCCTCCGTCACAGGAATCTCGACGGAAGGATCCTGCGCCGTCGGGGCCTCCGTGTAAGAGGAAGGCGGCGAGGGCGTCATCTGCTGCGGCGGGGATGGGCACGTCATTTCGGAGGCGCCAAGCACTGGCTGAGCCTGACCACAACCAGGCTCAGTCGGAGATAGGCTCAGCAGTTCTTCGTAGGAGATCCTTCTGGCCGTTCAGGGGAGGTAGACTGGAGCGACGTGGCGGAGTCGTAACGGCGTCCGACCAAGCACCTTCTCTTCGCAGGCGTCGAGCATCGCCAAGTCGGACTCGAAGTCCCCGAGGCCCAAGTCCTGCACAAGAGCGTCCAACATCGTTGCAAGCATTTAAGATGAGTGTGACTACGCCCTCATCGACAAGGGCCAGAAGACCTGACCTCCGTGGCTCTCTAGGACCTTGGGGAAAAGACCCACGAGGTCAGGAATGGGATGCTTTTTTTCACTGCTGTTATTCTCTGTATTTTTCCCAACAAACAAGATACAGTCATATGTCACTGCAAATTGTTGCTCGCCAGGTGAAACCACACAGTCTTATAACGTCTTCACCAAATGATCCAATAACTTAGGCCGTCCTTGCTTTAGAAAAATACCTTTGCTCATTTTCTAAGAGGGAGAAAGAATGTGGAAAACGGAATGAGTAAAGATGAAGGAGAATAAGAGGATTTTCGAGACAAAAGAGATAAAAAAACAAGTATTTAAGATTATACTGAAATGTTAAAATAAAAGGACAGGCACTTTGAAAATATAAAACCTTTTTATTTCGCAAGCATTCACATCGCTTCGTTTGTACTCCTGTGAGTAACGAAATAATCCAGTGTAATACAGCGCTTAGTGAATAAGCTTGTCGGCTTTGGCAAATGATCACGTGACACTGCTACAAATTACAGGCGATGTTTTTGTTTGTTCTTCGAAGTATTGCTTTCGCTGCTGTGACCATCGCTACATTTCCTTTTCTTAGTTTTATTGTTCTTGATCATTGTAGTATAAAGGTTATTTAAGAATTTTTTTAAATCATTCTCATTCTCCCGCATATTACAAAGTGTTATGATATGGGATAATGAAAATAGAAGACGAGGAATGAAGGTTTTCACGGAAAAGTGCATTCTCTCTCTCTCTCTCTCTCTCTCTCTCTCTCTCTCTCTCTCTCTCTCTCTATATCTATATATATATATATATATATATATACACATAAACACGCATACACACACGCATGTGTGTGTGTGTATATATGTATAAATATCCTTCTCTATATATACATCTGTGTGCGTTTGTATATATATCCCTCTCTTTATATATAGATATCCTCTCTTCTTTAGGTACCTTGAGGGAATAGGGAACTCATATTCGTAGAGAAAGGGGAAAAATTCAGCTAAGTCGTACAGGACGGCCGTCGAAAGTCCCGCTGCCTCTCCCTTGTGTGCGGGACGTGGCTCTTGGCCTCGAGCGCTGGCCTTCACACACGACCGAGGCAAAACTTCTCCAACTTCAACAAAAAAGTTACGTGGGATTTCTCGGTGTCTCAGCAACAGCAACCACGTGAGATATTAGTCGAGCTTCTGCTGCAGATTACACGCCGAGATGGTCGATTTCCTAACGCGGTAATTATATCATGGAAAGTGGAAATGGTAAACAACTTTGATGATATATTCGGGTGAGCGATGTTTGTCGGATCCGTTAATGTCAAAATATTCCGGCAAATTTCGTTTCTTCCTTTCTCTGAGATTCCGTTATAACTAAATGGAAGAACTTAGATAATTATTTGGTATCCTTATCAAGTAACTTTCGCCTCTGTTTCCCGATGTTTAAAATAAAAAATCTCGATACAGATTTATATGTATAGATATAGGTTGTAGGATCCATCAGATGTCGAAATATTCCAGCAGATTTCGTTTCCGATTTTCTCATAACACCAAGATTCCGATATAACTAGGTAGAAGGATTTACTTGAATGATATTCTCATTTACAATATTTTCATCAAATCTAGAGTCTTTACCAAGTAACTTTTCGCTTATTTCGTGAAGGAATACGTTGCTATGCTTCTCAATGTCTAAGGTAAAATGTTCATTATCGGCCGGTACTACAATATAGACATTGCAAGGTCATGTAGCGTACAATACTTCAGACAATTTCAGCAGTAAGTAATCACAATTATAGACTTTAGGATAAGTTAACAAAACAACGTAGTTTATTATCGAGAAAGCGTCCGCAGGCAGTGATGAGCTGAAGTCACTGCGACATAACAGCTGATTGTTTTTCCTGTGACCTCGCAAGGGATTCGGAAGGTCACTCTACGGTTTCGTTATTAAATAAAAAGGTTATTCGAACAATAACAATAATTTTTAAAATATTACTAAGAAAACAAGGATAATCGCTAACATTAAACATTGCATAAACATATAGAGATTGTATTCGCTAGTTGATCGTATGTATCATTGAGAAAAATATGTTTCGAATGCTTAAAATTCATCCCTTCGTAATCTATAGAATGCTATAACATAAAGCAATGGCATTAATTATAAGACAACAAGCATATTGTTAACTTTCACCAAAAGCTTGCATACTTTTGGGATGAACCATGCAAAGTTACTGCAGGAGAGGTTCGTGACTCGGAGAGCGGACACGAGGCGAGCTCACGCGTGGAGCCGAAGGCGCTTTACCAACTGCCGTAGAGCTTTTGGCAGACGAAGCACTTGTAGGTCATCGGATAGTTGTGCGCGATGATTATAGTTTAGAGAGTGGTATAGATATATATATATATATATATATATATATTATATATATATATATATATATACATTACATACATATATATATATTTTTTTTTTTTTTTTTTTCCCAACGTGATATAATTTTGTTCAACATCTGGGCTTAAAGGCACCGCAACCTCTCTCCTAATTTGCAATCTAGGATGAAAACGAAAAAAGAACATTGCTCACTGGCGGGACGTCCCGTTAATGGCAGATCAGGAGCTTCACGGGAAGCTGTCCCAATTTGAGGCTCAATTAAGATGATTGTCTGCCTGGCTGCCGCTCGCTCGAGCGTGATCTCTGACCTTCAAGGCGACTGAGACAAAATGTCTTTAATCTGGTAATCGAAGAATTTAAATTACATTTCTCAGTGTTTCTACAACAACAACCACATGAGATATCAATTGAATTTCTGCTGCAGATTACATGCCGAGGTGGTGGTTTACCCAACTCATTATATCAGTGATGGAGGAAAAGGAAAACAGCTTTAGAGTATTCGGGTGTGAGCGATGGTTGTCGGACCCATCAGACGTCGAAATATTCCAGCAAATTTCGTTTCTGCTTTTCCAGCAACTCAAAGATTCCGATTTAACTAAATGGAAGGGCTTACGTATATAATATTTCCTTTACAACGCATGTCAGGAATCTGGAATCCTTTTCAAGTAACTTTTCGCCTTTTGAGCTCCAACCTTGTGTCTGCTTTCCCAGTCAACACCAAACGTCTCCTGTGTTTTGTTTGTAGGATTATTATGCTCCTTTCCAGTGTAAATCGCCTTCAATAATTTATGAGGAGATGAAATAGAATGAAGTCTTTGTTCCTACTAATGGACGGAATATATATGTCGAGGTATTTTTCGTAACATCCAAAGCTCTTTTAATCATAATGCGAAAAGAAGCAATGCGTGTGGTGGCTCAGTTTTCTGTTATCCTTTTAATGTATCATTTTGTAAGTCAGGAAGTAATGGTTGTTTTATTTTTAAGTTAACAAGTTCATCAACAAAACGGTATATTTTATTACATACGAATGGATTAATATTAATACTTGCGAAAGTAAAGTTCTTCGTATTGAAATCGCCTGCCCGGATGCGTTTTTTTCATAATGTTCCTGTCTCTTATGTAATGATTCAGCGAATTTGTTTGTCTATTTGTTTTTTTGTCTGATTGCTTTCCACGTTCATTCGCTCTTAGATAATGTATAAATATAGCTAGAAGGATTGAAACATACTACGGAAAAATCGTTATGAGAATGCGTGGTGAGTTAGTCTGTTGGCAACTATTTACAGGCGTCCGTGACTGAGCTTCTCTATTACAAAATTCTCACTCTGCTTTACCTGTAGCTCTAAGGTTCCGATATTCCTAAATTGATGGCCTTAACATCATCTTTGAAAGACATTCTGAATTCACCACTGAGTGCCAATTCCTCTATTCACGAAAAATTTAATGCTGTTCCTCTCGATGTCTAAACGGCGAAAATAATAAAACAAGAAAATACACATAGCAAATTTTAACACAATTACCATTTGTGTTTTTCTCTCATATTATTTTCTCCAATAAGCAAAATGTATTCACATAGGCAATGCAGTTTGTTGCTCGCCAGGTGAAATCACACATTCTTATAACGATTTTCACCAAATGATCCGATAACCTAAGCCATCCTGCTTTTGAAAAATACCTAAGCACATTTTCCAAGAGGAAGCGATCGAGTGTGGAAAGCGGGCTGGATAAATACGAACGTGAATAAGAGGACTTTCACGTCTTCAGAGTACAAAAAAACGATAATCTAAAATCGTCTTGAAAACATGATGCAAACGAGAGGGGGAAATCATGTATAGGATAATCAAATCTGGCATTTAGAGCAATTTCAGCTATTAAAGTATAAAACACCTTTGTCGCAAGTATTCACACCACTTAATTTCTATTCCCAGAGAAACAAAATATTCCACAATGTAATATACTGCTTAGTAATTAAGCATGTCGGCTTTGGCAAACCATAACTACATTTGTTTTTCTTGTTCCATATAGTATAAGCATTGTTCGGTATTTCTTTTTCAGATTTTTTTAATGTTCTTTATTGTATAAGGATTCTTCGGTATGAATTTATGATGACATTCAGTCTTCATTTATTTCTCTTTCTCTCCCTCTTTCTTTCTCGCTCTTTCTCTCTCGCCCTCTTTCTTTCTATCTCTCTTCCTGTTATAATATGTAATAATTAAGATAGAAGGTAACAGAAAAAAAAACACACTTCTCTCTTGATAATTTGTATCCACGCCAGAAAAACAATCTCCAAAAGAGGAAGCAGAAAGAGAATTTTCGACCACGAAGACCAAAAACAAAAACAAAAATATTGAAAATATAAAATTGCGCCAAAGCTTGACCAAAGAGAAATTATTATGTAATGAAATATGAATAGCAGAAGACTCGGACTCTGTTTCGCAACATCACTTCATTTGTATTCCCATTGACAGCAAAATCATCAAGTGGAAAACGTCGTTCAGTAAATGAGCTTCTTGGCTTTGGCAAGTAGTTGCGTGATACTGATGGTGTAAAGGGTTTTTTATTTCCTCACTAAATCACAGACTTTTGTTAAAGCGATCACATTTCAAATCGTTTTCATAGTATTATCGTTGTTATCGACTTTAATAGTTAGTATATATATATATATATATATATATATATATATATATATATATATATATATATATATATATATAAACAGGAAATTGAAACAAAGTACATTTTCCTAATTACTTGAACTTCAGTCGAAGCGATCACCATTACTTGTTTCCTAGTACCATTGTTTTATATTTAAGAGTAGAGCGATTTCTCAACAGGAATTGAAATAAAAGGCAAATTTCCCTAGTTACTTTGAACTTCAATCAAGCGTTCTTTCGAACCAACCCATGCACATTAAACGCTGGAGATGCTCGGTGTCGACGAGGAGAGCAGACACAAGGCGCGAGCTCACTTGTCCTGCGGAAGAAAACCTTTATCAGAAAAACGTGACCAAACGAAGAGACAATAAAAGTGTATATGTAAGGATGACCACTCAAAGGTCATTAAGCAAACGTAAAAATAAAAAGCATCACTAGTTTCTTTATTATTATTATTATTATTTTATTTATTTTATTTAATTGCCAAAGCCAACATGTTCATTTACTGAGCGAAGATCATTAAGAGCGATACAATGAAGTGTTATAAATGCTTCCGAAATACAACGAAATAAAATATTTTCTGCAATCGCGCATAATTTCCCCTCTCCCTTACACCCAACTTGCATCCAGTTTGAAATTCCCGCCTTTTTCTTTTCTTTTCTTTTTTATCTCATTCGCGAAAACCCTCTTATTCTCCTTCGTTATTAACAAAATTGCTTTTCACGTTCGTTTGTTCGAATCATTGTATTTTTCCGAAGTAAAAACGAACTTGTATTTGTTCTTCGAATTCGTTTAAGAATACGTGATGATTTAGTTCTTATTGGGAAAAAAAAAACCCAGTAGTGGATATGACGTTACGTAAATAATAACGGAAAAACGAAGTAGATGGATGAGAAATGGAATGCGGATAATGATAAGAATAATGATAATGATTATGATAAAGGTAGAAAATTGCAGTGACATGATTGTGATAAAATAAATAATAATAATGATAATAAAGGTAAAAATGTCAAAACAACAACAATAATCAAGATAAAAACAACAATAATAATGATAATAACGATGTTAATAATAATAATAAAAATTAATGATTATCACAATAACAATATTTAAAAGGTAAATGAAAATGACTAATAATAATGATAACAATAATAGCAATGACAATAATCAATAATGTTAAATAGTAATAATAATAAAAATGGAAATAACATAATAATAATGATAAAAATATAATCACATCGAAAAAAAAATGAAATGATAATAATAATAATAATGATAAAAAAATATAATAATATCGAAAATAATAATAATAATAATAATAGAAATAGTGATAACAATAGTAATAACAGTATTGATATTGGTAATGATAATAATGATAATGATATTTGTAATGATATTAATGATAAAGATATTGGTAATGATAATGATAATGATAATAATAGTAATAAAATATTGATATTAACAATATAAATCCTAAGTAGTTTGGATAATAAT